CTGTTCTCTAAGGCAGCCAACACATGAACTTGGGCAGAACTTAACAAAAGCTCAGTTGAAGTGTCACCTTCCTCTGCGGCCAACTTAATTGCTCCCTCTCCATGCTCGCCAAACAGTGTCCTAGTTGCTGGCTGTTACAGCTGTCTCAGAGGCTGGGGCCCTGCTGGGCTGGGACTGTGTCTTATTTATCTTTGGATCACCAGTAACTTGTGCAGTGTTTTGTAATAGCTTGAATTTGTGCCATGACTGTAGGGATTCATTTAATGAGAGCCAAGTGTTAGGTCAGACTCCCACCCCAGTTCTAAGTATGCTCCGAAGTGTGCCACCAGTTCCTATGCCTTTATTTTTTTTTGAAAAAAGAACTTATTTATTTTTGATGAACTTTAAAAAATATTTTTATTTTTTATTTCATTTGTTTACCCTTTGTACCTCCATTACCTGTTCAAAGACAAATAAATGAAAAATACAGAGAGAAAACAAAAACAAAGACAAAAAACCTCTTATTTCCATTTCCTGGAGTTCATTGCAATAAATATTATTCTCTATGATCAGATGCACATAGGCACTGTACCTTTATCTCATGGTAACTATAGGTGAGCACAATTTTACATGGGAGGAAACTAAAGAGAGATGGAGTAACATGTCCTAAAAGCAAGGCAGAGGAACTACTTCTTTCCTCTCTTCCCACAGGCACATTTGCAGGCATGGATTCAGTTCCCTCATACTGTGCTTGGAGATGAACACTTGTGCACTGGACACACAGAGAGTCCTAGAGAGGCAAACACTGTATTTTAGTCATCTTTCCATCTCTCTAATTAGCAAAGACATTCACTAAATAAGACATTGATCCTTGAATAGCTGAATAGGGGGAGGCTCGATCTAAAAATGTCTACTTCTGGGGAATTCCAGCAAACTCTTCTGACTGCATCAAGTGTGTGTGTGTGTGTGTGTGTGTGTGTGTGAGTGTGTGTGTGTGTTGTGAGTGTGTGTGTGAGTGTGTGTGTGTGTGTACATGTTTGTGTGATCGAACAGTAACTTTCACAGTAGGCCACATGTGACCTGGTCAGCAGAGATTGCTCCCAGCAATCTCCTGTCCCTTGCCAGACACAACAGAGAGACCCATCCTGGGTCATCCAGCCTCAATTGGCCCCCAGCTAACCATACTGCCTCAGTGAGTTCAGCACTGAGCTAACCCCAATAAGAGCAGCCAGCCAGTTGTTCACAAAATGTGAGCCAAAAGTTTGAAGACAGTACATTTGTTATCTTAAGCTAATGCATGTGGGGGTGGTTTGCTCTATGAGATATGAAATAATTGATAACAAAATGTAAATGTTTAGAGTTAAACTAAACAGGGTTTTAGCTCATTATAACCTCTGATATATGTAGAGATTCAGCATGAAGACTTATCCTGCATCACTGTTTATAATACTGAGAAGATAACCCAAACAGGCCTCCAACAAAGAGGTAGTTAAGAAGTAGTGGCATATTCATAGACCAGAGAGATATGCTGCCAATAAAAATGAAAGGATAGAATTATAGCAGCACACAGATCTACCAGACCTTTAGAAGTATGCCAACAAATTTTGATCAGTAGATACAATCTTACTGTCTCTATCCCAAACACATTCTCTTACAGAACTGGAATAGCCCAAGGTACAGTATAGAAGACCTTGGTATGAGAGAGAAAAAAGGCTCAAAGACAATCCAGAATGTGCTATGCTTTGCTTTTTGAAGTTGTAAGAGAATACAGTGAGGAGGACTAAGCGCTCAACCAAAGCACCATGGTTCTAACAAAAGTAAACAAGCAAAGAGTGGGATAATGGTGGGTGGTTTTAGGGTAGAAGGCCCCTGTTATATTTAGTAACTAAATATCTTTTAATCCCTTCAAAGGTGCTGCCAAAAACTTTAGGACTTGCAACTGAATTTCAAACACAAAGGATAGTGGATTAATGGCTTGAGAAAGAAAGCTGTATCGTAAGTCAAAGAAGCTAATTGCAAACAGCATATACCACAGAATCTATATTCCATAAAAGAAGCTAATTGTAAAACAGCATATCCCACATAATCTATATTCCATAAAGAATTTCTTATATGACATAAGAAATGAACTGGAAGTTAAAGTTGGGTCTAATGGTGGGTGGTTTCTTTGGAAGACAAAAGTAGGAGAAATTCTTACTTTCCTTGCTATTGTTCATTTTTATTTACATGACAGAATAAAGGTGCATTTTTATCATGTTTAAAGACTAATAGAAGTTATAGATTTTAAAATGTTAGGAGGCATATTTATGTGCATGCACGTGCATGTAAACACACATGCACACTCACACATACACGCGCACACATGCACACACACACACACACACACACACACACACACACGGGGAACAAGATTCATTCTGTTGTTGCCACCCCACTACATGCATCCCAGTTACTCTTGGAGGTAGGCAGTCTCTGGAATTAGATGGTCTTTTCCTATGCACAAGCACATGGGCTCCTTGCAGGCCTGTGTCCTCCCTGATATTCTGGAGGCAGGCAGGAGCCACAAAGCATCACTCCTCATACTAGAGGTAAACACCACACAGTGTTATGCTATTAGCAAGGCTATCCTGCTATTCCACTCAGTAGAACTTCCATAGGACGTGAGTAGGCCCAGTAGTGAACACATTCTGCTCTTTACGGGCAGCAAATCAGAGCTCGAATGGCCCCTCGGCCCTTTCAGCCCTCCATAGCTTCATCCTCCACTAACTGTCCCTCACTACTGACAGAAAACAGAAGTATCTTTGTGCATGATAGAATCTTTACAAATGGCAGGAAGCCAACCCAGTTAATCATCAGACTCACTTTCTAAATGCCATAGCCGGACACAGGAGAGCCCAGCTACACCCACTCATCCATGGTGAGAACAAAAGCTGAACCAAGGGGAATAGCAAAGTAACAAGTCCAAGGTTCAAAGCGATGAGCAATGTATTGAAGATGCCACAGAAGTCTAGTCTATCACTAGATAGTGGTGTGACTAAAACCACAAATTGTACTAGATAATGGATTACTGACAAGGCTATATAAGTGAATGCACTGTGGAATGCTTGATCTTAGTGAGGGGGTACAGGTACCAGATGTCTAAAGTGGTTATCAGTGCACCACTGTCATCCTTATAAATACCTTCTTCAGGTTCTCCTCTACCTCTTTGGATCTCTGTTCTACCCTTTTGAAAAATAAAATCCTGAGTTATGTTAGGAATAAGAAATGGAGTCTCGGACTGGGAAGGTAGCTCAGTGGTAGAGCATTTGCCTTGTATGCATGAGGCCCTGGGTTCGATTCCTCAGCACCACATAAGCAAAAAAGAAAAAAGCCGGAAGTGGCACTGTGGCTCAAGTGGTAGAGCTCTAGCCTTGAACTGAAGAGCTGAGGGACAGCGCCCAGGCCCAGAGTTCAGGCCCCATGACTGGACCAAAAAAAAAGAAATGGATTCTCCAGTTAAGAAGGACACCACCAGCACTGGGGAGGCTGAGGCAGGGCTGTGAATTCGTGGGCAGCCTGGGTTACACCAGGAGATAGTGTCACAAACTATCATATAAACCAACAAGAAAACACACTCTTCCCAGGGTGGATCATCAACTGAGACTGTTCGTCTACCCCTCTCTTGACTTGACTGTATCCTTTGACGAGTTAATAAAATCACACTGCATTTTAAACCTTAGCAGTCAGTGTGCCAACCATGGTTCCCCACTACCACCCCGTGCTTTCACCTTTGGGCCCTGGTTCCCTTCTTTATGCACTATGTGTTTAGCCATGACAGCAAGTTAATACTTATCATTTCCCAAGAGTTAACTACTGACATCATTGCTATAATGATAAGGAAGATCTTGGCAGTAGGTAGAATCATTTGTTCATTCTACCAATGACGAAACTGAGGCTTAATGCAGGCAACTTTCCCAAGGTGATACAGCTGTGCGGGAGGAGGACTAGAGCTCCTTGGATGAGCAGGAGTGTGTGTATGGGGGGGAGGGGCGCACAGCCAGGAATGGCAGCTGACAGCCAGGACCTGTGTGAAAGACAAATTCTAGCTCGTTCACCCCAGACAGAACAATCCATCTCCACAGAAGGAGGCCACTGCTCTTGCCCACGTGTTCACAGGTTGTTGAGAAGTTTAAACGAGATCACATCCACATCAGGCTTTGAACATGGGAGAGCATGCTAGGAATAAAATGTCTGCACACCTGCCAGCAGACTATTTTTGGTCATTTAAGCATCAAGGGAAAGATGATACTCCCTTTGTCTCCCAAGTTCATGCTTGAAATTAACAGCACAGGATTATCTTAAACTGTTCAAAAAAGGAAGGGCCTGGGGACCCAGGCTGGTCCTTTGCAAGGAGCTTCTTATCCATGCTTAATACAGACATCCTGTCTGAATCACTTACCTTGATGGTGTGTGTGTGGGGGTGCGTAACAATCTTACTCTTAATGTCTCTTCTGTTCTAACTAAATGCCTACTGAAATTTTATGCCTGCCATCTATGCAATACAAAAGTGAGAAAAAAACACACACTAATTCTCATGAAAGGGGCATATTATATAATAATTCACATTTTATTATCATCATCATTATGAATAACAAAGTTCACAGTTCCGTTTCCAGGTGACGTAAAAGCAGATATCTTTGTAGACAGTACACTTGCATGCACTGTGGTAACATGTAGTTGTTGCATTTCTGTTTGGTTATTTGTTTATTTTCATTACCTTTTCATCACAAGGTATTTTTCTGGGGGACCCACTATGATTTACGATCTATTAAAAGACACACAGTTTTAAACTGCACAATTACAACAATGCAGCTTTTTTGTTGTTGGTGGTGATGGTTCTTGAGCTTGAACTTAGGGTCTAGGTGTTATCCTTGAGCTTCTTTTGCTCAAGGCTAGCATTCTACCACTTGGGCCATGGTGCCACTTCTAGCTTTTTTCTTAGTAGTTTATTAGAGATAAAGAGTCTCACAAACTTTTCTGCCCAGGCTGGTTTTGAATCACGATCCTCAGATCTTAATCTCCTGAGTAGCTAGGATTACAGGTGTGATGCCACCAGTGCACGCAATGATGAAATCATTAAGTAATTAAAAACAATTGATGGCGGCACCAATGTGCTGTACTGAGTAACCTGCCCTTTTAAGTAATATCAACAGAAACCCTGTTTTCTCTTTCCATCTATTATCATAATAATCTTATTTGGTTATTGAAAGCATTAATCAGACAAGAAACCACTTGCTCCAAGTGAACACTGGGACTGAGCTTGTGCGACCTGGGGGCCCACTCCCCAGTAGGTGCTGGGTGACATCACTCCAGCATGTTCTGGAGCACAGAGGGGTCCACTTCCATGGCTTCAAGACCCTTGTGCAAGCTCAGGAAGGTAGCCTGTCTCCCAAAGCGCTGCCTCCAGCGGACAAAGGCCTCCACTACCTGCGACTGCACGTTGTGGGGGTTGTTGGCCTTACAGCGGTAGATGTCGGTGTGAGTCAGTCCCAGGGACAGCACTACTGGCTCCCACTCTGGACCTAGCCTCTGGGCCAGCTGGTTAATCTGACGGTCTGAAGGGGAGCTGTTGAGGAGGTGTGCAGGAATCCCAGCCATCCGGTCACCTGAAGAGGAGAAAGATTCACAGGTGAGTCAAGCAAGCCAACATCTCAGACAGGGCAGTTGTGAGCAGGGTGGGGAGGGATGACACCTCCATGTGGAAGGTACCAGCCATGCTGGAAGCTGCTCAGTACACCATCATGCTTTATGGCTTCAGAAATGACACATAGAGCCAGTTGTCGGTGGTGCATGACTGTAATCCTAACTACTCAAGAGGCTGAGATTCAAACTCAGCATCCCATGGGACTTTTATCTCCAATTAAAAGCCAGTAGTGGAGCTGTGGCTCAAGCAGTAGAGCACTCAAGTGGCAGAGTGCTAGCATGAGCAAAACAATCTCAATGACAGTGTCCAGGCCCTGAGTTCAAGCCCCAAGACCCCCACACACATATAAAAAAGAAATGTCAGGCTGGGAAGGTGGCTCAGTGGTAGAGCGCTTGCCTTGCATGCTCGAGGCCCTGGGTTCGATTCCTCACCACCACATAAGCAAAAAGAAAAAAGCCGGAAGTGGCGCTGTGGCTCAAGTGGTAGAGTGCTAGCCTTGAGCTGAAGAGCTGAGGGACAGCGCCCAGGCCCAGAGTTCAGGCCCCACGACCAGACCCCCCAAAAAAAGAAATGTCACCTAGCATCTATGAAAATGTTTACTGCAGAAAATTTGAAGAGAAGATAAAAGATAAACTCTCTACCAGAGACCTCTGGTGATAGTAATTTAGACTATTTCCTCTCTTTAATATGCAAATGATACACTGAGGAAAATACATAAAAGCTACATTGAGTTTACTGCTTTGTCATAGGCTTCTTTTGCTTTCACTGTTTTACTAAAGGTCCAGCCAGGAGTTCTTGGGGATTTCAGAATGGCTGCAGGCATTGATTCATTTGGGCCCAGGCCTCTGGGCCTGCAGGGATCCTGAACAAAACTGGATTCTCCACGGGAAGGACACCTTCCCCTCTTCTCTCCTGGCTTCTTCAACATGAAACATTACCAAGAAAATGTACGTCTGCTAAAGAAGCAAAGCTCAGAGCCCTGCTGAGAGAAACCAATCTGCAGAGGCCATAGGCCATAGGAAGAGTGGAGAGCAAGGCCAGTCCTAGCAGGGTAGGCCATAGTTCTAGTCTTTGTTTTTGAGGAGCCACATACTCATTTCCATAGCGGCTGCACTAATTTACAATTTCCACCAACTGTGTAAAAGGCTTCCTTTTCCTCCTGCATCTGCACCAGCATTCTGACTGGAGTGGGATGGACGCTAGCATAGTTTTGGTTCTTTATGGATAAGGATGGTAAGCATTTCTTTATTAGGCAAATATGTTTATTTTTTATTGGCAAAATATGTCATACAAAAGTAAAATTATTCCACGTTAGCAATATTTTTCCACAGAAACTCTAACCATTGATTTGATATAGTAATAGACTGAGGAAGAAATCCATTCTCTTAATAGATGTACAAAAAAAAAGCATTTAATGGAGATTGACATCTACTTATGACTTAAAAAATATTTCTTTAAGAACTCAGAATATGGGGAACTTTCTTAAGATGGTTAAATCAGTGAAAACCTTCAATAAACATTTACTTTAATGTAGCATATAGCAAAGCATTTCTGTTTAGGGGAATAAAGTGAAGATGATGTCTGTCATTATTGTCATGGAAAGAAGGATTAGAAATCCTGACCAGAGCTGGGGCGCTGGTGGCTCATGCCTGTAATCCTAGCTACTCAGGAGGCTGAGATCTGAGGATCGCGGTTCAAAGCCAGCCCGGGCAGGAGAGACCGTGAGACTCCTATCTCCAATAAACCACCAGAAAACCGGAAGTGGCACTGTAGCTCAAGTGATAGAGCGCTCGCCTTGAGCTGAAGAGCTGAGGGACAGCGCCCAGGCCCAGAGTTCAAGCCCCATGACCGACCAAAAAAAAAAAAAAAAAGAAATCCTGACCCGTTCAAAAAAGAGAGAAGACAATTAGGTATGAGCATCTGAAGGGAAGATATAAAACTATCACTATTTTCAGATATATGATCCAATATGTAGAAAAAGACCATGAGTAACATATAACCAGTTGAGTAAGAGGACTAAGCAAAATTGCCTGATACAAAAGTTCAGATGTAAACAAAACAATAAACCCATGTTTCAACATTACAGTAATAATTAAATATAAAATACAATAAAATAAACTAAGCACTGAGAAATATAAAGGATGTGAAATTCAATTAGGAAAGGCTAAATAAGACCTCAATGTGGGAAATCAAATTGAAATTTAAAAGACGAAGCAAGTGCTGAATAAAAGAAGAGTCATTCATGTGCTAAATGAGATGACACTGTTTTAACATAAAGCTATCATTCTTTTAAGGACAATTACAATTTCATAATGGAAAAGACTAGGAGTTTCTCCAAACTAGGAAAAACTTGCTAATTATATATAGAAAGAGAAAATGGGATTTAGACATCATACTATAAACAGTGACAGATTCCTTGAAGATAAAGTCCCAAACTAAAATATAAAGTTAGTAGAAATTAATGTGGGAGTATTTTATAACCTGTGGCAGGAGGTGATTTTTAAAGTTAATCTCTCCAAAGATAAATTTTTAACATCAAAATGAAAGATTTCTGTGCAACAAAGGAGACTATTATTCATGCTGATAGAGCAAAATGAGAAAGAAACTCACTATTGTTTAAAACCAACAAGAGCATACTATTAGTCTAAGGTCCTCCTGGAAATGAAGAGGAAGATAAGAACTTCCATAGGAAAAAAGATAAAGGTACAAATAGGTGGCTCAAATGAGAGGAATCATAAAAGCAAGCATATGAAGGGATGCTGAAACGTCAAAATTTCAGAAACTAAAGTGCAAACAAGTCATTTTATGTGCACAAATATGTGGACAATATCATTCTGGCAGTGTCAGACAGGTGGTGGGAATAAAGACTAGGCAGTCATTCTAGATGGTAAGCTGGGAAAAATTGAAAGTACTATATAATCTTGTTCCTAGTTACAAATGTCCAAGAAAAATTCTGAAAAGACACATAGGGGACATGAATAAAGTTTGTGTGCTAGCTTCATGATTTGTGCCTGCATATGTACACACACCTTATAACCCAAATATATTTTATATAGTATATTGATGATTAGTACATATGATAAGTATACATATTAGATGTTATAGTACTATAATTATATATTAATATAATTACATATAAACACCAATATTATATATTATACTATATATTACACATAGCAATATAATTATTATATATAATAATGCGATCTCTACATAAGTATCATATAGATAACACATGATACATATTCTTTTTTTGAGGGTGGGGGTCCAGTCGTAGGGCCTGAACTCTGGGCCTGGGTGCTGTCCCTCAGCTCTTCAGCTCAAGGCTAGTGCTCTACCACTTGAGACACAGCGCCATTTCTGGATTTTTTCTTTTTTGCTTATGTGGTGCTGAGGAATCGAACCCAGGGCCTCATGCATGCAAGGCAAGCACTCTACCACTGAGCCACCTTCCCAGCCCCATATTCTTACATAATATAAACATTTTATAGATATTACATTTATAATATTTTAATATATACTTATAATACTGCTTATAGTGATATCAAGTATATATAAAGTATTTATTTCACAATGTTTATGTGTATGTTAGTCAGTCTATCATGGCTATGACCAAATATGTGAATCAAATAATTTACGTGAAAGTTTACTTTGTTCACAGTTTCTGAGCTGTCATTCCATTGTGGTAGGGAAGGCATGATGGAACTCATGGCAGCCAGGAAGCAGACAGAAGGAATCCAGGAAGGACAAGGCAAGACAAAACTCCTAAGGACACGTCGCCAGTCACCCTACTTTTTTCAACTAAGCCCCATTTCCTACATTTCACCACTTCTCCATAATGCCATCCTTTTATGAGTCCATAAAAGGTCAGAATCCTAATGATCAGCTGGTAACTAAGTCCTCAATACATGAGTCAGTGGGGAACAGATCATATTCAAACCATAACTAAGTGTATGCGTGTACACACACACACACACACACACATACATACATACATACATACATACATACATACACACATATAATGTAACCTATTCATGATGGGTCACATATATGACTTTATATGAGGTAACATTGGAAGTAAGGAGATAGCAGCAATCTAAATGCTCATCACTAGGAGTAAGAGAAACAAATATGAAAGCACTTTGGAATACTGGCAGAGTTAGAAAGGATGGCTTCCACAGGATACAGAACAACAATGTAAGACAAAGAATGAAATCCATAAAAATACCAATTAAAAATAATATCCAAATGTCACTCAAAAAGACACACGGAAAGCTAAACACCAATGGCTCAACCCTGGTAGTTCTAGCTACCGAGGAGGCTAAGATCCAGAGGGTCACAGTTTGAGGCCAGCTTTAGCAGAAAAGTCCATCAGATTTTTTAAAAAACTAATAAAAACCCAAGCTAGAGGAATGGTTTCAATAATAAGAGTGCCAGCTGTACTCAAACCCAGCAAGCATGAGGCCCTGGTTCAAACCTGGGTACTAGCAAAAAATAAAAAAGCACAAACAAATAAAAGAATATGTATTCAAACAAATAGCTATGTCATAAGAGGAGAATGGAAATGGAAATGAAAGCAAATGAATGAAAAGGAGAAAAGCTTTTCATAGAAAAAGTAATGAAATACAATAGTTCGTAAGGTAAGCATAAAGAAGGCAGGAAAAAAAGAAAGGAGAAGAGGGAGGGAAAGGGAAGGAAGGATTGGACAAAGGGCGCAAGAACTACAACTCAGCAATCTCCTCCAAGGCAAGACAAGGAGCTTATCTGTGGTGGGTGGCAAGCACAGGGACGGGCTCCAAGCACAGGGACGGGCTCTGCTGGGTTAGCTAACCTCTGGCCACCTTTTAGGGTTCAAGTGTCAACCCTTTCCCTAGAGAAAAAACATCCCCTCGGCTAAGGGATTGGCTATCTAGAGAGGAAAGAAAAGAACTTTGAAAAGAAGGGAAAAACTGGGAGAGA